ATATATAATACATAATTTATATGTAAGCACGTATCACGTTTGTATAGAATGACATATTTAATAGGCACGTGTTCAATGTTGACAAGAAATTGGCTTAATTTAATGTGATAAAAAAATAAACTATGCTTTTCTTTATAGGTACATGATTACCTGATCATATGAGGACAAATCATTCGTTAATTCCATTGATATTTTAATGATTGGCATCACAAATTAGAACGAAATTTAGTCTAGATTTCACGCGAAACTGTACTAGATTATATGGATTTGTCGTGAAATAAGAGATTGAAAGATTTTGACCGATGGTTTCGCAGGATAGATAGGTGATAGTAATGGGGTGGGGACGGGATGTGTTGTGGTGACGGTAGCATGATGGATTAGGTTCTTATTTTAAAAAAAAAATTATGAATTTTTTATTCTTTTCTTAGTTTTTTATCAACCAGTCATTGTATACTTGATTCTAAGTAGGAATGGCAAATGGACGGGATCGAGAGGGTCTTCCTCGTTCCCCGCCTCGCTGGAAAATTTCAGAAGTGTGGTAGGGTAGAAATTGAAATATTTTCGCTTACGATCCTCACGTTCTTATTTACTTTTAAAATGCAATTTAAAATANTCATATGTGCCCAGCCAAATTCTTGTGCCTTTCTTGGAGGGATTCCTTATTTCTGCCGCAAACTTCCCCCATGGACGCTGCCTCACGCCTCTGTACTGCTTCCACTCTGGTGGCATGTGGATTCCACGCACAGGTTCCGACACAATCTCATCACAGCATAAATTATCATCAAATAGTAGTATTCCTTCTGGGCTTTCGGGCAAAAAAGAACTGTTAAAGCTTGAGTTTTGGCTGCAAATTTGTGCATTGCATGAACTTATTTCTGTAAAGTTGTCAATAGAGGATTCATCAGAATCATTTAAAAGATAATTTTGTATGGTCTGAAGAATGGCCATGTCTGAATTTGAAATGGGTTTTGCATACATTTTTCAGGATTCCTAGGTTTTCCTTATACACAATTAATGGTGTCAAATTAAGGATCTTTGGTCACTGTCAAAATCTATAAAGTTTCTGGTTTATATATGCATGACTGAAAACCCTGTGTATTCATGCGATTTCCATGAAAGTCGTCAATCCTTCACGCGAAAAAAATGCTAATTCTTTTTTAAACGAAAAGAAATTTCTATTAGTCAAGATAAGTATACGTATATATAATACATAATTTATATGTAAGCACGTATCACGTTTGTATAGAATGACATATTTAATAGGCACGTGTTCAATGTTGACAAGAAATTGGCTTAATTTAATGTGATAAAAAAATAAACTATGCTTTTCTTTATAGGTACATGATTACCTGATCATATGAGGACAAATCATTCGTTAATTCCATTGATATTTTAATGATTGGCATCACAAATTAGAACGAAATTTAGTCTAGATTTCACGCGAAACTGTACTAGATTATATGGATTTGTCGTGAAATCAGAGATTGAAAGATTTTGACCGATGGTTTCGCAGGATAGATAGGTGATAGTAACGGGGTGGGGACGGGATGTGTTGTGGCGACGGTAGCATGATGGATTAGGTTCTTATTTTAAAAAAAAATTATGAATTTTTTATTCTTTTCTTAGTTTTTTATCAACCAGTCATTGTATACTTGATTCTAAGTAGGAATGGCAAATGGACGGGATCGAGAGGGTCTTCCTCGTTCCCCGCCTCGCTGGAAAATTTCAGAAGTGTGGTAGGGTAGAGATTGAAATATTCTCGTTTACAGTCCTCACGTTCTTATTTACTTTTAAAATGCAATTTAAAATACGAAAATGAAAAAAATATAAGAATCGAGATAATTTTAATATGGGACGACACGAGACGGATGAGGACTAGGTATTTTCGTCATCCCCAGTTCTAAGCACTCTCCCTCATTTCCCATTTTCTCACATTGACCAATTTTCCTTCTCTAATTTCCATGTTATTTTTCATCTTTTCATTTTATCGAAAACGACGGTGAGGATCAAGCCTATCTTTTAATATCCAAATTCTATCCTTAGTGTCAAGATGGGCCAAACAGTCCAGGTTTGAAATGAACACCATCTTAAAAGTTCGGTAAAAATAGCTCGATGTCGAATAAATGATCGACATTACAGTAATTAAAATTGTCACGACCCCTCCAACTATGAAGATTTGAACATTTTTACGGGATTACCCACGGTAATAATGGATCGTGTCAAGCTTGACGGTCTAGCCTGACAAATTGAGAGCCAACTCATTTGGTTATATTTTTTTTTTGAAAATGTGTATTTAAAAAAGAATGAAATATTTTTGGTTTATGTGTAATATTATTTTATTTGAGAATGTGTGATTTAAAATAACAAAAAGAAATATATGTTATAAATTTAATGAGGGCAAAATGGGAACAAATATATAAATAAAAATAGAGATTGAGGGATATGCGGAGTCGATTCCAACCAACTTGTCTAAATTTGTTTATCCAAAAACCTATTCGATTGGGAGACTAGCCCTATACGCTTCTGGCTTTTCTCTCCCTTCAACTTGATACTTCATATAAGTAGGGCTGTAAATGGATCGAATATGGATCGGATCTGCCTAACTCCGATCCGATAAGAAAATTTATCCGATCCGATCCGATAATCCAACGGATATTTAATTGCTAAATCCATATCCGATTTACAATGTTATCAGATATCCGATCCGAAATTAATAAAAATTAGGG